TAATCAGGGTGAATTTTTCAAAGATACCATTTTGGGAGGTCAATCTGCAGAGCCCCTGAGCACAGGTCACTAGAGCAGTTCTGTATCTGCCTCAGCATGTTTCAGTACCCAACACAGGAAGATGCTGGCCTTGGCTTAGATAATTAAGAATATATGCTGATTTTCTGAACTCAGTCTGATACATACATGCTTTAGAAGAACTTCTAAACCCTCTCTGCCATTTCCCCTAATGAAATCTTTGAGATTTTTCTATTTCTGTCTTCCCGCTGTCCTGCCTGGCTTCACTGCTCTGTTTTTATCTCTGGTAAGTTTTGATTTTGGGGGGGAAATAGGTTTATAAGAACGATTCGCAAAAGCGCTACGAATTTCCGCGCACTTCCTCCTCTGAGCAGCAGAACAGTATGTGAGAGGTGGCTCACGATGTGTACAAACATGCCCAGAAATAAAAGGAGAAAAAAACCGAACAAAACCAGAGAAAGTAAAAGCAAGACAAAAAAGGGCGCGGGTTTGTGTGCTGGTGTTAGAGGAAGGTGAAAACGCTTCCCGGCAACATCTGAGAATCATTTGCAGCAACCGATCCGTGAGCTGTAGTGAGTAGAGAATGCTTTTAAATCCTCCCCCACCCCCTTTGTTAATCTTTACCAGGTAGTAGGACCTTTAATGTAATTCGTATGGCTTTCCGAGGGACGTGTAAAATATTTCCATTTTGAAAAAATGCGATTTTCGAAATGGCTCTAAAGATTGAAATTCGTAAGTCTGGCTGTAAGTCTTGTGGTCTTCTTTCTTCCCTTTCAAATTTGGTAACAAAAATAGTCTTCAGGCCGTTCTGCGCACGGCAGCGTGTCTCAGCAGTGAGCGACGAACATCTGGCTCCTCAGCCTCCCCGACTCTCCCTTGGAACAGGAAAATCACGTGCCTGGTTAAAGGTGTCCCTATGAATGAAGTGCAGAGCGTAAGGCAGACTTACATAACTCCCAAACACTGAAGGAGGGGTTTTTTTTTTAGACTTAAACATTCTGAGCAACATCAGACAACGTAAAAGAGTTATTAATTATGATGTATGATTGTTACTGCACTCGAGAGACTTTAAGAGGTAGCCTGGAAAGCTTCAGCTTTGGCTTACCTTTGAGCACACCCAAAATACCGGGCAACGTTTTTAGATGTTTTTGAGTGACTGAGGAGCCGATTTCCTAAGACTTTCAAGCACATTGGGGATTTTAGGTCATCTGGGGCACGTCTCCGCTGTGCGATGCCAAATGGCTCTGAGCAATCCAATTTTCAGCACAACGGAGAAAGATGAACTCAGACCCTGAGAGCAATGTATGTCTCTGAGCGTTGCTCTGCGCTGGTTTTTTTTTTACTGCGTCCAGCTTCAGGGCTCGATGACTTGGTTCTGGTTTGGGAAGCTCTGCGTCACGTTCCCTTTCTTCTTACTGACATACTTCTGATAGTTTTGCGAAATCCAATTTGGCATCTCACTACGTGGCTTCGTTTGCACCAGGCAAAAGCCCGTGGCAGACATCCATCAGCGTGTGTCTGTTACTGGAACCTGGACTTTGGAGAGACCCTAATTAGAGTCCGAGCTCCTCACAATCAGAGCTGTTTCCTGGGTGTGACAGGCCACCATAAAATCCGAGTGGACTTTGCCCCGTGGCTGCGTGGGTGACAGGCCATCACCAGCACCAACAAAATCTAAAGAGGGTGCCAGCAAAAAGATCATTTTTGAAATCTGGTGATTTGCTGACGGCAATCGCAGAGCGTGGAATCAGCTCAGCAGTCTTCGATTCATGAACGGGTTAGTCCCTTTTGGAGTCCCAGGATGTTTGTGAGAATTTTCAAGGAACTCTAGTTTGAATCAGTCAATAAGAAAACCAGTATAAGCCTGAGTATGTTTCTTATTTAAGATTATATTGGCTCCTGATTACAGTTTGCTTCATTTTCACACCTCATATTATGAGGTTCTTAAAAAAATAACTCAACAGTTTCCAGTTTTTGTTTGTTGTTAAATATGACTTATAAAATGTTAGGTCAAGAGTCTTCAATAAACTCGGCTGCACTGTTTGTTTAAAGCTATGAGTAAAGCAAGTCATATGAATGTTTCCAAAGACTGTATTCCAAGAAGTATTTTTGGAAACATTAATGTTGTGTTTTTTAATGAAGGCCACATTCTGAAGCTACGACACCATATGTCACATTCATTTCTGTACTGAAAAAAAAAAAAAGCACATTGGGGATTTTAGGTCATCTGGGGCACGTCTCCGCTGTGCGATGCCAAATGGCTCTGAGCAATCCAATTTTCAGCACAACGGAGAAAGATGAACTCAGACCCTGAGAGCAATGTATGTCTCTGAGCGTTGCTCTGCGCTGGTTTTTTTTTTACTGCGTCCAGCTTCAGGGCTCGATGACTTGGTTCTGGTTTGGGAAGCTCTGCGTCACGTTCCCTTTCTTCTTACTGACATACTTCTGATAGTTTTGCGAAATCCAATTTGGCATCTCACTACGTGGCTTCGTTTGCACCAGGCAAAAGCCCGTGGCAGACATCCATCAGCGTGTGTCTGTTACTGGAACCTGGACTTTGGAGAGACCCTAATTAGAGTCCGAGCTCCTCACAATCAGAGCTGTTTCCTGGGTGTGACAGGCCACCATAAAATCCGAGTGGACTTTGCCCCGTGGCTGCGTGGGTGACAGGCCATCACCAGCACCAACAAAATCTAAAGAGGGTGCCAGCAAAAAGATCATTTTTGAAATCTGGTGATTTGCTGACGGCAATCGCAGAGCGTGGAATCAGCTCAGCAGTCTTCGATTCATGAACGGGTTAGTCCCTTTTGGAGTCCCAGGATGTTTGTGAGAATTTTCAAGGAACTCTAGTTTGAATCAGTCAATAAGAAAACCAGTATAAGCCTGAGTATGTTTCTTATTTAAGATTATATTGGCTCCTGATTACAGTTTGCTTCATTTTCACACCTCATATTATGAGGTTCTTAAAAAAATAACTCAACAGTTTCCAGTTTTTGTTTGTTGTTAAATATGACTTATAAAATGTTAGGTCAAGAGTCTTCAATAAACTCGGCTGCACTGTTTGTTTAAAGCTATGAGTAAAGCAAGTCATATGAATGTTTCCAAAGACTGTATTCCAAGAAGTATTTTTGGAAACATTAATGTTGTGTTTTTTAATGAAGGCCACATTCTGAAGCTACGACACCATATGTCAGGCTTCTCGCTCCGTTAATCTAGTCCATCCAATATATATTACACTCTACGGGCCTGACTCTCGTCTGCCTTGAAGTGTGTGCGCTCATTTAGGCTCAGGCAAAGTGAATGAAGAGCTGAGGAAAAAAGAGCTACCACTAGGAAACTTTTTTTTTTTAAAAAAAAAAAAAAAAAGAAAAAAGAAATGGAAACTATGTTTGGCTTTTAAGTGTTTTTGGAGCAGCGTCTCTGCATGCTTGTCATTGTTCCTTGGATGGGAGAAGGCTTCTCGCTCCGTTAATCTAGTCCATCCAATATATATTACACTCTACGGGCCTGACTCTCGTCTGCCTTGAAGTGTGTGCGCTCATTTAGGCTCAGGCAAAGTGAATGAAGAGCTGAGGAAAAAAGAGCTACCACTAGGAAACTTTTTTCTAAAAAAATTCATTTTCCATGAATATGTTGGCTTCATTGTAAACCTACATCTGAACTTTTGTCAGCTGAAACCAGCTTAGAAACGGGAAAAGTACTTGTCGTTTTTCCATTGAAAACTTACAATTTTTGGAAGAATAATGACAGCTTTTTTCTCAAAAATATTACCTTTCTTTTCTTCAGAAATATCAGTTAGAAGCATGACAATTGGCAGAAATTGGGAATTGTTCTGTGTGCCCCATGGCTTGTGTCCGGGCAGTGGGGTGTGTTGGTTGGGGTATGGCAGGAGGAGCTGGAGACGGGCAGGAAAAGGCATTTGCCTTTTGCAGTGCTGTATCCTACAAGTCATTCCTAAGCATCCTGGAACTGATTGCTTCAGCTGACTCTTTCCTTTTTTATTGGATTCCAGTTGATGAGGTCTCAGTTTCTAACATAAGTTCTTGTTATTAGTCACTAAACGTATAGCCTCGCACTTCGTACTGCTGGAGTTCATATGGTTGCAATCTGCAAAGACATCCTTTTTCTTCTCTGATCTGACAGAGGAATCTCCTAATTCACATCACTTCCTAAATTTGTGTCATCCACAAATTTTATTAACGTACTGCGTGTTTCTTTCAAACTCATTAATAAAAATTTAAATACTTTTTGGCAGCCGGATTTTTTGTTTTGTTTTGTTTTAAGGAATAATTTGTGAGGGTTTCCAGGACCTCAGAGAGGTTTCTTTTTCATTTGAAATGTAAATACTTTTCTACAAATTGAACAAATATGTCTCTGTAGCACTAGCCCAGTAAATTTCAATTCCATGACCAGCTTTTTCTGGGCACTACTGGAATACAAATGATGACGAATGATTGTGTTTTCGATAATTTTCTGGTTAAAGCACATTGGCCCTGACCTTGCCTGCCCACGCTACCAAAGTCTTCTGTCTAAAGGAGGGTGTTTTCCCAGGCATTTCTTCTCATGGAGGAAAAAAAATATTGCAACAAGCAAATAATTAAGTACCTCCAATATCTGACTAACTTGAAGAGGGTTCGTGCCATTCCTGTGACTGCTCCTGAGAGCCCTTCCTGATTTGAATGTTACTTTAGCAGAACATTAGAAGAGGCACACACAGTGGGGTCACCACAAAGGCATTTGATTTCTGTTTTCATCTACCAAATTTTCGGATTGATATGGACATTTCTAACTAGTTCAGTTTCTCGCTGCCTCATATTTCCAGGCCTCAGTTTTTGAGCTGTGTTGTTTAATGAATGTCAGAATCTGTACTCCTCAGAAAACTGCTCTTGATGGCCGCGGAGTGAATGTATTTAGATTTGGTGTTACACAGTTCTGGCATGGGAAATTAAAACAAAAATAAACTTCTTTCTTTTATTTCATAGATTTCCAATGAGCAAGGAAAACAATAGCCCTTGGGACCACGTGTGTTCTGTAAACTGATGCCACGAGGCAGAGATGAGAAAGATGACTGAGCAGAGCGGTTGCTATAGGCCTGTAAACATACAGGGAAATAAGATCAGTTACCAAGGCGCTCGTCAAGGGAGCCCTGAAATGGGGCTGAAAAGATCCCAGAAGCGGTTTCTCCACAAGGACGGCAGCTGTAACGTGTACTTCAAACACATCTTCGGGGAGTGGGAGAGCTACGTCGTGGACATATTCACCACGCTGGTGGACATCAAGTGGCGCCACATGTTTGTGATATTCTCGTTGTCGTATGTTCTTTCCTGGTTGTTCTTCGGACTGGTCTTCTGGCTGATCGCAATCCAACACGGAGATTTATTCAATGATGAAGAAATAACCCCTTGTGTTGCAAATGTCCACAGCTTCACGGGAGCGTTCCTGTTCTCCCTTGAAACCCAAACCACCATCGGTTACGGTTACCGCTGCGTTACGGAAGAGTGCTCCGTGGCCATCCTGATGGTCATCCTGCAGTCGGTGTTAAGCTGCATTATCGACACCTTCATCATTGGAGCAGCCTTGGCTAAAATGGCTACGGCTCGAAAAAGAGCCCAAACCATTCGTTTTAGCTACTACGCTGTGGTAGGCTTGAGGGATGACAAGTTTTGCCTGATGTGGCGCATTGGGGATTTCCGGCCAAACCACATGGTTGAGGGCTCTGTACGAGCTCAGCTTCTGCGCTACAAGGAGGACAAGGAGGGGAGGATGACGATGGAATATAAGGACTTGAAGCTGCTAAATGACCAGATCATACTTGTGACGCCGGTGACAGTCGTACATGAAATCGACAGCGAGAGCCCCTTGTACGGCCTGGACCGCAAAGCTCTGGCCAAGGACAACTTTGAAATCTTGGTCACCTTTGTCTACACGGGTGATTCAACGGGAACTTCCCATCAGTCAAGAAGCTCCTATGTCCCCAGAGAGATTCTTTGGGGCCACAGATTCAATGATGTCTTACACGTGAAGAAAAAATACTACAAGGTGGATTGCTTACAGTTTGAAGAAACCACGGAAGTCTATGCTCCTCACTGCAGTGCCATGCAGCTGGATCGGAAGGAGCAGGAGTGGAACCGGAGCGAGAAGACACGGAAGAAAGAAGCAGAGACACCAGCACTGGAGATCAAGTCATTTAATACTAACCAAAAGTCCTTTAGTGCAGTTGCCCTCGTCACTAGTTGTGAAGATCCAGAAGACCCGGTGCCAGCTGCAAATCAACCTTCTGAAGAAGTTTCTTATCAGAAAGCAGCTGTGACCTTAAGCAGGCTATCGATAGAGTCCCAGATCTAGCCTGGTGCTGCAATTAAATTCACTTCCAGCAGATTCTTCCATTGTAGCTTTTAGAAGATAAACAATGAACTCATATGCAGAAGTATTTATATTATAAACCTTGCTGACAGCGTGTAATGCATTGCTGAGCTGCTCGAAGGAGCTTGGTCCTGCTTAGCCCGGGTATCACTAGAGGATTAGCGTTGGCACAAGGCAACAGCTTACATTGGGGTTGACGAGGCAGCTACTGGGCTTGAGCAAACGTATTGTAAACTTTATTACCCTGCAGGGACCAATGTTGGACATACCCAGAGACAGATAATGATCTAGGCAGGGAACAAAAACAATGTAGTGTGCCCTCTAGGTCAGATTTTTCAAAGCTGCCTAATTTATTTAGAAAGCTGGTTCCCAGTCTCTCTAGGAGGCTCTGAAGCTCCCCCACCACCACAACAAACCATTCCTTATTTCATTGCACCCCGTGGGCAGTTCCCAACCTGGGGTCACACTGGTGAGTCTCTGGGGTGTTCTTTGTAGGAGGGAGGAAAGAATAACTGAACCCAGTATTACTGGGCAGCTTTGGAAACCTGCTCATGCCCTGCCTCATCCTGTGGGATCCACGGTGGGATCCTGGAGAGCTTTTCTCATTTCCTAGTCATGAGCCATTCCCACAACTCCCAGTCCCTCCACAGCTCAAGCTGGCCTGGGGTTGCAGGGAGATCTTCTTCCATGGCTCTCGTGGCTAGGAGAAGGGCTTGCCAAACGGGCTCGTTTGCACTGGTCAGGAATCAAAACACAATCTCGAGTAGGAAACCAAAATCAGCAAAATCAGGTTGAGCTTCAGAAAGAAGATGATGTTTTTAGAGTGAGCTGTGCAATATTTTACATCAAACTGTCTTTAATTTCAGTGTCAGCCTTGCTTTTCTTTTTAGTATATTGTACTTCTTTAAAAAGATGAAGATCAATCTGGAGACCCGTGTGATTTTGTCAAAATGAAATATTTTTATTCATCTGAAATGACTGTAAAAATGATCCTTCACAGAGAGATTCAACATACTCAGCTGTCAGCTCAATTTGGAAAAAAGGGAAATGTGAGTATTTTGAATATGTCTGTGACATGAACGGCCATGCTCTGCACATCCCTGTAATTAATTATTCAATAACCAATATCTCATCATGCTTGTTTCTTTCTCTGATGATTACACTTAATTTGCATTGTGTTTGATTATCACACTGGCATAAAAATAGTTATCTCTGAATTTGTGGTTGCCTAAAATGGGATTTCTCTCACCTGATCTCAGCCATCAGGAAATTGTTTGCCTCCTGGTCAAGGCTCTCTGTGGTTACTGGAGCTCTTCTCCTCATCCCATCTCGCTCTGGCCTTTGAGGGAGCTGAAGGCAATAGGATGTGTTTCTCCTGGAAAAGTTCATCCCTCTCCATTTGGCGTTGAAGGAGATGAGATGAGGTGACTGGGGTGGAAATGCTGGCTAACTTTAGGCTGCTAAAATTAGTCCTGACGAGTCATTCACATCATCCTGACGAATTAAAAGTTTTTATGAGCTCATCACATTTAATGAAGAAGAATAGCATGCTGAATCCTTTTTCCTGAAATTTACTCCGTATAGTAGTGTTGCTGCATTATTTTAATGTATCTTGCATTTCTCTTTTGGTAGCCCTTGGCTTTGGAGAGATGGGATCCCTTTAGGTAAAACCAAGCATATTAACAAGCCTGGAGGGAGGTGGTTATTCTGAAGCTTATTAATTAGCCTATTTTATATGCTGAATCATCATCAGCATCCATCTATAACTGCAGTAGAAAACAACTTATTGCGTCCTGGATTTCAGCACGGGCAGGCATTGGGGAAATAGCCTTAAAAAATGGAAAGGAATGTAGGAAAATGTATAAGGGTCTCAGGACTTATTTGGTGTTGGAAAACACCATCAGGATTGTATAAAATAGAATATAACCTTCAAGATGTGAAGTAATCCTTCCCCACTCCTCTGTCTCTGAAAGGTCTTGGCTGGGTTACATTGTTTGATGTTGGGCACTGCACTTTGGGGGGGACATGGAACAATTCAGAGAGAATCTGGAGATCTAGAAAACGTGTCAGTGAGGAAGCAGGGAAATAACTTCAGGTGTTTCAGTCCAGAAAGGGGTTAGGAAACAAAGAAAGAGCTCTCAAAAACTGCAGTTCAAGACCTCCTGGTCAAGGCTCTCTGTGGTTACTGGAACTCTCCTCCTCATCCCATCTTGCTCTGGCCTTTGAGGGAGCTGAAGAGAGAGGGATAATCTGTTGCCTCTACTTGGTGGGCAGGACAGTAAAACACGGCCTTAAGCTGAATCCAAAGAGATGGAAGTTAATTAGGAAACACATTGATAAGGAAGGTGAAGCACTGCCAGACCCGGGGGGGTTGTGTGTGTGTAACCGCCGTGGTGGGGGCTCTCAGGAGCCTGCTACAGAATGGCCAACCTTGCCTTGAGCTTTCCAGCCTTATTTTTCTGTGATCCTATGATTTTGAGAAAAAAAGGGAATGTCTAACATGAAATCTGCTTAACTGATCGCCGAGTACTTACACACGTGTGAGTATTTACTTAAATGTGTCGGTAAAGCTGCGCGGAGAGATGAGACACTGCTGAGATACGTAATCACGAGCCCCACAGTATCTTCAAAAGGTGCATATTTCAGGTGCTGTTTGTAAAAGTAGTTTCTTTTATCAAGCTGTGACTCTCAGCTGCCTTTCCCTCTCCCGGGTACGTACAGCGTGAGCCTCTCGCTGTGGAGAAAATTCTTCCCTCGGAATGACTTTTTCCTGTAAGTGGAAGGACCAGGGGTCTGATTAAGGGTTTTGTCACATGCTTCTTGGTAGAGATAGATATAAATACGTGAGCATGTGTAGTAATGTATGCTTTGGCATGTGAGGCAACCACGAACTGATGAGGGTCAGGAAGAAACGTCTCTCCTGGGCACGTTAATTCGTAACAGGCTACTCTACGGTTTCTCCTACTTTTATCTGCAGCATCTGATACCAGCCAGAGCTGGAGACAGGATCCTGGTTGAACCACTGGTAAACTGCAGTTCAAGACAGAGGGATAATCTGTTGCCTCTACTTGGTGGGCAGGACAGTAAAACACGGCCTTAAGCTGAATCCAAAGAGATGGAAGTTAATTAGGAAACACATTGATAAGGAAGGCAAAGCACTGCCAGACCTGGGGTGTGTGTGTGTGTGTGTAACCGCCGTGGTGGGGGCTCTCAGGAGCCTGCTACAGAATGGCCAACCTTGCCTTGAGCTTTCCAGCCCTATTTTTCTGTGATCCTATGATTTTGAGAAAAAAAGGGAATGTCTAACATGAAATCTGCTTAACTGATCGCCGAGTACTTACACACGTGTGAGTATTTACTTAAATGTGTCGGTAAAGCTGCGCGGAGAGATGAGACACTGCTGAGATACGTAATCACGAGCCCCACAGTATCTTCAAAAGGTGCATATTTCAGGTGCTGTTTGTAAAAGTAGTTTCTTTTATCAAGCTGTGACTCTCAGCTGCCTTTCCCTCTCCCGGGTACGTACAGCGTGAGCCTCTCGCTGTGGAGAAAATTCTTCCCTCGGAATGACTTTTTCCTGTAAGTGGAAGGACCAGGGGTCTGATTAAGGGTTTTGTCACATGCTTCTTGGTAGAGATAGATATAAATACGTGAGCATGTGTAGTAATGTATGCTTTGGCATGTGAGGCAACCACGAACTGATGAGGGTCAGGAAGAAACGTCTCTCCTGGGCACGTTAATTCGTAACAGGCTACTCTACGGTTTCTCCTACTTTTATCTGCAGCATCTGATACCAGCCAGAGCTGGAGACAGGATCCTGGTTGAACCACTGGTCTCAAGCAGTCTGGCTTTTTCTGGGTTTCTCCGTTTGATATTTTAATTTCATTTATCGCAGTATAAAAACTATGTATAGTCATGTATAGTAAAGCGTGCGTTGCATTTTTTGTGAATAAAGGCACAGAAATAAAGACCATGCCTCTGCCACACACCTTGTGGGAGCACGTTTTGCTTTTCTTCCCTTCAGCCACAGTTTTTAAGCTTCCAGACCTTGTGCACTAAGAGGTCTTGGAAAGATTTATAAGGTGCAGAGTAATCTTTGGACTTTAAAAGATGCCAAATCACAAGCAAACCCACAAAGTTATAAATACATTCTGTGGAAGCTTCGTAGCACGAGCTCTGGTTGGAGGAAGGAGCCAAAGGAAGCCCCCACTCACAGACACACACACACACAGGGCACGTGGGCAGCCCCATCCAGAGCCTGGGTGCTGGACCCACAACCTCCTCCCCTGCTGGAGGAGCTTTCACAGCACCAGGTGGGTGGGACAGGATGGGACAGAGGTGTAGAAGGGACACACAACCACACAAAATGTGCAGAATCCTTCTGTAATTGTCGTTGAGGTGGGACCTGATTGTGCTCTTGGTAGAGCCAGTTCTTCCACCCTCCTTGCTTAGGAGAGGACCTGGGAAAGACTCTTGTCCTCAAACCAGGACAGCAGTACTGCTGTACAGCAGCTTTGGGAGACTCTTCCTTACTCATCTGCTCTTTCTGGATGAGGATATTTCCCAAGGACTTCTATTTGGTGCTTTTTTTATTCATCCCTGTGGCAGAGCCAAGCAAGACCCTCAAAAACCCAACCAAAGTAAGAATCCTTACACAGAGACACAGACCTAACCCTTGAGTCCTCCCTGAGGGATGGATGAAGGTGCCCACCAGTTCCACCAGTGTCTGGCTGCGTCCTGGGCTGTTCAGAACTGGGAGAACTGGAGCTGAAGTGAAACACAAGACCCCTCCTGCTCTTCCAGAGCATTTCACGTGGCCCTGGGGCTCCTCAGCAGGAAGGTTCACTTTGGGGAAGTTCAGCATCTTCTTCCCAGCCACCACGAGGCAGCAGTTGGCATCTCCTTCAGCCTCAGCTGGAAGTTGCTCACCCTGTTCCCATCTTTTCCACAAAATTTTCTACCAGATGAAGCAAAATATTAACAACAAAGAGAAAGTACAAACCGCTCTGCGTTGGACTCCTCTGTCGTGATTATAGCTGCAGCTCGGTTATTTTCTCTGGGAAAGGAGCACTTTTGTTCTGGGTCAAGATCAGTTTATGTCAAAGGGAACGCAAGAAGAGATTATTATATAATTTATTTTTCCAGCTTTGCCTACCACCCTTCATTAAGGCAGCTGGCATTTCCTTCCCCATTATCATCTATCATTTAGCACATATTTTCTGTGAAGCTGATTTTCAGATGTGGGACATAATATACACCCCTTTGCTTAGCCCTGGGTTCTGACCCGCTGCGCAGGAGGTCTGGCTTCAGCTGCCTCCCTGACGTGAAGCCTTACGGTCCCACTCAATTCGGGAAATAACAGGTACCATCCAGGTGTCAAAAGTGTCTGTGTGGGAAGGGAAAATTGCCTGTAAGTGTTTTTTTTTTTTTTTAGCTCTTAAATCTTTGCTGTTTTTGAGCTGGGAACCTGCGAACAGGAGGAGTTGGTGTCTCTGGGTGGGCCTGAGAGGCCCATTTTAGGGAAGCACCTGACAAGAAATTCTCGTCCAAGGGGACCCGGGGCAGGAGGAGAGAAACGAGCCCGGGGTTTAGGGAGGTTTAGGGAGGTTT